TAAAGTAAAAATAAAAGTGTGGATGTCATGACATATTTGACATTGACATGTATTGTCAAATGCACTTTCTTAAAAAAAGAGATCATACTTTAGTTATCAAACAGAAATTTGACAATTTCAATATAATATTAAAAAACATTATTTTCAGCCATGCTGGAAATAAATATTTTTTAATATACTTGTTCTAATTGCCATCCTTAATGATTATTTTAATGATTGATTTTTTTTAAACTTTACACTGTCTTGACGCTATATGAAACTTTAAATATTAAGGAGAAAGTATTTAACTTAGTACAATAAAATGTTGTATGTTATATGGAAAAAAAATCTTAAACTTTAGAATATTATTTCATTTCAATAGAAAAATTTGAAAGTAAATTAAAAGTGGTCTTAAACCGGTCTTAAGTAGCCTTTTTTTCAGCCTGTGTATATTTATATTATGATTTATTTATAATACTTTAATATTATTTAGGATACAAAAGTATATAGAGTTATAACTTTAAACTAAGGACTTATAAATTATAACATAATTATTATTATAATATAATATAAGCATATAGAGTATATAGAGTTATAACTTATAACAAAGCTTATAATATAAACTCTGTTATCAAAACGATTTTTTTTAATTATATTTTTACAACGATATTATCAACAAGTAAAAAAAATTAAATATTTAAACTTACAACTATCCAAAATTTACAATACTTTAATATTAAAAGCTAGCACACTTGTAAGCTCAACTTTTTTTTAATGCCAAATGGAAAAGATGAAATCTTTAAGGAGAATTTATTACATAATCACATTTATCATTGGTCTTTAAAACAATAGCACACACCCATTTACTGAGAGCCTTCTCATTTTACTCAAGTTACACTTTAGCTGCGATTTATATCGGATCTATTTGTAAATTCCGGGTAAATTTAAGAGAAAATAACTTTTAGGTTCTGGATAAAATGTGTTTAAAATTTGTATACTCTCGCGATGATATGAAAGTTGTTAATTTTTGAAGTAAGCAGGCTAGAAAGAAAATTTTACATGTTATTAAATACCTCCTTTCTTCAAAAATTTTTATATTGCTCGTATTATTGCGACGGAATACGAATATAGTACGTATAATTTTAATTGGGTTACAATTTTAGTTACTCCATTTTAGTTTACTTTATGTGGGTTATTTTTTAGTTGGGTTACAACAATTAGGGTAGACGATATTTCGTCTGACTTTTTTTCTGAGAAATTTGGGAAGTTAGACGAGAAAACTTTGGTTATTGCGTTCATGCATTTAAAATCCACCGCAGCAACTATGTTTCTGCGGCTTAACTCAGATGTTAGAAAAAACAATGGAATATCGCGTTGTTTTAGGAATATAGGTGTCGTCCATAAATTACGCAACGCAAAGTATATTTTAAAAACAGAAATAAGATATATTAGGCTCTAATACTTATTATAGTTTTCATTTAATTTAATGGGCTATTTAATTTTTTATTGAAAATAAGATTCTGAGAGAGAAAACTTTTGATCATTTTTTGTTTTGTTTATTGTGTAAGTTTGCGTTATGTAATTTATGGACGATCTCTTATGGTTTAGTTTTTAGCATTCTTTAAAGACGTTAGGTTGTTTTTTTTTTGTTTTTTTGTTTTGTTTTTTTAAAACATCTTCGCTTCCAACAAGGCTGCAAACAACCCCTAATAAGTGTTGGAAGTTACTGGAAGATAAAAGATGAAGATTTTAGAGCAAGACAACGACTGACAGACGACTTAAAAGATTGCAAATTATATGAATCAGGAAAGCAAGCAAATTCCAAAGAACTGATATTCGAGGAAAAAAGCTAGACGAATAAATGTTTTTCGAGCACTTAGGAACAGTAACGAAAAAAGGATGAGACAACTGAATGACGAGTAACGAGGGTGAATTTTAATAGTTGGTACAAGAAACGTTAGCTGTTTAGAGCAGTACCCATTATTGTATTTATAGAAAAGAGAAAGAGAATTAATTAGAACATTACGACGCTGTAATAATGGTTAAAATTTGGCTGCAAGAGCAGGTCCAACTATGCTTACAATACGTTTTTGCATCTTTTCTAAAAGAGACAGGGTATGATTAAAAGATCCGCCGCAGATATGGCAACAGTTTTCCATACAAGACTGGATTTGAGATTTATATAGGTAGAGAATAGAATACAGAGTAAGAATGTGTCGAGCTCGATAAAGAGATGCAGTTTTAACAGATGGCAATTTTGAAATGGATTTGATATATGGTTTCCAAGACTAATCAGAAGTAAGAGTTAATCCTAGTAGATGAAGGGTAGATGATTCATCGAGTACATTACCGTTCATCAATATGAAATAGACTAAATTGTTACGATAACGATTGGCTGAAAAAAATTGAGTTTTATCTGAATTAAAGTTCACCAGCCACTGTGGACCCATGCTGTAGCAGAAGTGAAATCTTATTCAAGCTCAGATACCCCCTCCAAATATTCAGAGAGTGTTGGCTTCTTATCATGACAAGAATAAATGCTAGTATCATCAGTGAACAATGCCACCTTAGATGTGAGAATATCTAATATATAATATGGAAGATTGTTAATGTAAATTAAAAAGAGTATAGTGTCAAGGATTGAACATTGAGGAACCCTTGAGGTGACAGAATAAGAAGAAGAGTGCTGTCCATCAAGGACAACTTTTATACTACGATTAGAAAGGAAGGATTTAATAATCGTAAAGATGTTTTCGAATACACTGTAAGAAGAAAGTTTTTGGAGAAGACCAGCATGCCAAACTTTATCAAACTCTTTAGAAATGTCAAAAGCAATGGCGTTAATCTCTCTACCTTTATCTAATGCACGATAAAACCTATTGGGTATTACTGTTCGTATCTCAGCCGTAGAACGAGATAATCAAAATCCATATTGATGATCAGAAAGTAAGTTATTAAATTCATGATGAGAGATTAAGTATTTGTTGATTAAAGATTCAAAAACCTTGCTTAAGATAGGAAGAAGACTAATGGGAAGGTAGTAAGACGATTCAGATCGCTCTCCAGAATTTTTAAAAATAGGGATAACAGATTCTGCTTTCCCGCGGGGTGCAAAACAAGACTCTGATAAGCACTTGTTAAATAGTTTTGAAAGGATAGACAACAGCTCTGGAGAACACTTCTGCAAGACAGATATGTTATCCGGGCCACAAACTGTGAAAGAGTCTAAGCAGGAAATCACTTTAGATAAAGAAGTTCTATTTAGGTTTTTATAGTAGCATCATAATTGAAAAAAAAAAAATAGAAGAGGAAACAATTTTCTTTTTATTCAGACATTTTATATAATAATAATAAAAAAAATACTTACAATAATAAAAATAATAACAACAATAATAAGAAAAATAATAATAATAATAATAGCGGAAATAATAATAATAAAAATAATAACAATAGCAATAATAGAAATAATAATAATAAAAATAAAAACTATTTATTGCTGAAGTTTAACAAAATATCAATTAAAATAATATAAATTTTCATGATGTTAAACGAGAGCGTGTAATAAGCACGCTCTATTTCAGCCGGTGACTTTATTGGGTAAGGCGGGTTGAATTCGTCACTTATGCGACTCAGCTTTAACATAATAATGCATATAAACTAAGAAAGCTATTTACTCAATTTTTTTGAAACTTTTTTAACTGATATTTGTAGAATATTATTAAATAAGTGTTTTCTATATCTTCCTTTGATTATCCTTTAAATATTGCGAGTAAACATCGAAGTTAAAAAAATATTTTTCTGTTTAAATGCTTATCGTCAAAAAATAATCAAAATACGCGATGTTTTGACCACGTAACCAAAGTATATTTTTTCGATAGATCGATATCAATATTTTTAAAATAACAATTTAAGTTGCCAAGTTTTTTCTTTGGAATCTTCACGTATAATTGTTATCACATGCTCAAATGAGGGGCAACTTCGTTGTTAAAGAAAAGATAAATTAGGTTCTTTAATCACGCAAACTTTTCAACATTGGAGCGACGTTTGAAAGAAAATAAAGTCATGCTAAAAATTTACTTCAAAGCTTCAGATTTTATATATAAGAGGCTTCTCAGAATATATTAGTTTACAGTTAGTTTTTAAAACCTCTTAAGTTTTAATTACGAACGCGACTCTGATGAAAACACATGTAAAGACACATGTAAACAAGCTTATTATAATGTATAGTCTGAAATTGCGATGAAAGCGGCTTTTCATCTAAAGCAAGTGGTTTCGTGTAACTGGCTCTCGTGAGGTACAAAAAGTTAACTATTGGTTCACACAACTATTCCACTTAATGTGGCATAATTCTTAAATAAATACGTGCTAAATTTGATGTAGCTATCATATGGACCATATATATAAAACTCACGATCTTGACTCATTTTGAATTTTAAATTTCAACCAATTGTAATAGTTCTAACGCAATCCATTGTAAACTCTAGCACATTAACAACATACCTGTGGCACACTAACAACATACCTGGCCACTGTCAATGCAGCAGGGGAAAGTTGACCACCATTTTTTCATATTTAAACAAACAAAGATTCCAGATGCATCTAAATTTTCTTTGGGTACAAAAGTACATTGAGTAAAAACGGATATATTGATTAAAAGATGTTTATTGACTTTTTTTACATCATTTTAATAAGTTCATTCCCATTACCATTCCCTAAGAAATACAGTGAAATACAATAAAAAATATGGCCAGTGCCAACAGAACTCAAAATAAAAAATAAATAAATCAGTCAAAACAAAAATAAAGAAGATTCATTTTTCAGCTAATTCTGATCACCCAAGTTCATCTAGTGGTTTTATTCTCAAAAATAACACTGATAAAGATTTTTGTTGTGTTTGTGTAGTTTGGAGAGAAGCAAACGAAGATACATGAAGAAAATAAGTGCAAATGACATATAAACGTCTGGAAAGTTTTTGAATAGTCATAGCAATATAATTTTTGTTGTTTCTTTAACGTGTTATTTTGTGTGCTAGCGCGATTAGACGGTTTTTATTTATGTCAAAATCATTATTTGATATTTTCTAGAAAAAGTTTAACAAATGACATCCTTTAAGATGTTTTAGAAATCAAGAAACTCTATCTTGTCGTTATCTGAGGGTAATTCCATTTATTATTAGTTAGTTAGGCTATTAGTAGTTCTATCTACATCACTTAGGGGATTACTGTTCAGATTACGGAAATCATCACATTATTACTCCAAGAATAATGCTTTATATCAAAGTTTTTTTTCTCCTAGGTAAGCTCTTTTTACCACTAATACGGATTTTTATCTATCGCCCAAGTAACGTATTTTTCAATTAGTTGGTTGTACTGACGAATTCGCCCCATAATTGACGAATTCGCCCCTCATGACTTGGTGATGAAAAAATCAAGTTCTATGCTAAAGTAACTTTAGAATTTATTTTGATTCAATACATTAACAAAGTTAAGACCCTAATTAATAAAAAAATGCTTTTAAACTAGAAAATGTTACTTATTTATATGCAATCTCATTTTGTTAAACTAAAACATGTCGAACTCGCCCCGCCTTACCCTATAAGGCGGGGCGATGTTTATAGAACGATAGATGGAGGAAGACAATTCCATACAGTGGCTATTATGTTAAGAATAAAATTCTCTCTTAATGGACAACATTCCATTATTAGTTCTTTTTTAAATCAAATGGGATTTCTTCTGCATGCATATTGTTCCATTAACTCATCAGATTTTACAATTATTTTTGACGTAGATATACACCATTTAACTTGTATGAAACTGTAGACAATTTTGAAGCACTAATAAATCACCTCTTATCTTCAAGTTTCTACCGTTGTAATATTAAACCTTTTAAATCGTGATTTATAAGTTAGATGTGAGAGGCTTCTTGTTTGAGTTGCTTTTCGTTGAGCTTTTTCAACAGCTGCTATATCGTGTTTCTTTGATGGATTCCAAATTAGCGCTGCATAATCGAGAAGCAATCGAACAAAGGCTTTATACCATACTTCAGCAATTGAGGTGGTGTAGAATTCAAATGTGTGTTTAATTAAAACTAGCATTCTGTTAGTTCTATTGGCACACTATTCAAATGGCTGTATTTTCTATCAGTAGATGTCATAACGCCTAGATCTTTCTCTGAATTGGAACCTTCAATTCGAATTCGTATTTTTTGATCAAAGTCAAAAACAGTATAATTTTTTTTTTGATTATACTTATCAAAATGCCTTATTTTACATTTACTTATATTAGGTTTCATCTTCCATTCCTGACACCATTTAGATATTTTATCTATATCATTTTGTACTTTGTTTCTTAGAATTTCAGTTTCGCCCAGCTCAGCAACAGATTTACTATTGTCGGCGTATATTTTTATTACTTGTAAAAGTTTACAAGGATTTTGTTAATTATTTGTTATTAGATGTTTCATCATGGAGTCACGGATTATACTTTCCATTAATGTGCATATGACTGATGGAGCAATATTGGCCCAATATTACTTGCGATAAGTCAACTTCTGCTTTTGTGTAGTTGCATAACATTTGTTTTTTCTCTATTGCCTCGGTTGAACTTAAAATGAAATTTTTCATGAAAATAATTTTGAGTGGAATACAGTTTTTTAGAACGTATGGACTTACGTTGCATAGTTTTCTAGAAAAGTTCTAAAAAAATGTCACACGAAATTTCGTCTACAATTGGGGTTACGTTTTTACCGTAAAATTTAACGGTATAAGTCAGTAAATGCAAGAAAAACATCGAATTAAAAAAAAAAACGAGTTTTACTGGACAAAAAACTTAATTAAAATGGTTTTTATGGAAACATTAAAAAAAAAATTTTATTTATAGAATACGCTGAATAATTTTAACCATTAGTTTTTGGAACTATTTAACAAAAAGTTTAGCATAACTCAGTAATTAAATATAATCACTTTATTTTAAAAGCATATCATCGGTATACAAAGAAAATGCACAGTCCGTAAACATCATTTTGAGATAATGAACAATTAAGTTTTTAGATAATAATTAAAATAATAAGTTTTTTTGTATTAATTGAAATATATTCTTAATAACTCATTAATAATTGATTTATTAAAATTATGTGGTATTCCAAATTATAGAGAATTTAAAATACTAAATAGTGGTATAAGCAACTCCATACTGCTACAAATGAAAAACTCCATACTGCTACATTTTTGTTATTTTCATTACTTCAAATTGCCTAGAAACAAACGTCTGAGACACATAAAATTCCGATTTAGCCAGATTACCACAGATTATTTCCATTATTTCTTTAACTTCTTTTCCTCTATTAAGTAAGTCACCCAGGGCGGATTTACCTTTTTTTTGAGTTGTGCTGAGCAAAAATGCATGGGCCTTCACGTCGCCTTGGGCAGTAACCCTGATTGGCATCCTATTTTTCCTAATTTCACTAAATTATCAATGAGTGAACCCTTTTTTTCAGGTACCTTCTTCTTAATTGGCCCCTCTTTGAGATCTGCCACCCGAGACAAACTGTCCTATTTGTCCCACCCCCTCTCGACGTCCCTTCAAACATGTACTGGGAAATGTATATCTCTTAGTAACGATAAAATAACCATTTTTATTAGTTTTTTATTAGTAACTTAGTTTTTTTCAAAAATCTATTGTTTTATTATTATTAATAATACATTTATAGGATTTCTATAAAGAAATACATTATATTCAGAGGCAAACAATCATAACAACATGAAACCCTGAATTCGTTTTTTAAAAAAAACAACCTGAAAAGCGAATTAGAGAAAAGAGCGTATATAATTTGTAGTTAAACAAAAAAAGAATTAGTACTTGACAATTCTTGACAAATAACCCTACGGGCATTTGTTTTTAAAATTTACGTTCTAAATGTCTTTTGAACGTTTTTAAACGTAAGTATGTTCACAAGACGTTTAAAAGACATTTAAAACACATTTAGAATAAAACAAATGCCCGCAGGGAATTTAAAGTAAAGCACTTTATATTTTGGTATCAATTATCGAGAGTGTACAAAAATTATTTAGACTATTCATAAATTATTGAGATTATTCATTAATTATGAAGAATATTCTTAAATTATTGAGACTAATCATAAATTACATAACTAGCAAAAGCGGTTTAATTTATTGTTGCAGTCCACAATAATATTGACATAATGAAGCTAAGACATTATCAGATATAGATTATAACTCTTATACACATATTAATTTTGATTCATAATAATTTTTTTTATGCAAAATCTTTTTTTTTATGCAGCAATCTTTCTTTATAACCAGTAATCGACCGTTATATCAAGAATCAATCAATAATGACACACTAATTTCATGAGCCCATTACAAATGTTTCTCACAAAAATTTGCATGAATATAACAAATATTATCATTATTAACATATGACATAAAACATAAACTAGAAATAGCATGAGAATTAACAGTAAAACCCGGTTTTGAAATGTAAAAAGGAAATTAATATCTTACCCTAATTGTGTAAAATTTCTTTTTCTAAATTGTAATCTTATGATCAATAAAGTAAACTTTAAATCATAAAAATTTACTAAATTCAAATCATATTACAACAGTAGGAAAGCTAAAATAAAAAAGTAGAATAGTTATAAACAAAAACTATAAAAATAACAATAAAAAAAACTTTTAATAAAATACTTGACTCTAATACGATCTTTAAACCGAAAATTAAAAAAATATTAGTAAACATCTAGTTCAACATTTGTTAAATACAGCGTACATAGTTTATATTTATAACACACTTGTATTACATTATAATAAATAAATCAATAATACAATGATATAGTAAACTTATGCACATAATAATACAACACACTTAATAATAATAACGTCGGCTAAGACGTAATACCTTTAAATACCTTACAAGTCAATATAAATTTTTGTAGTTTAACTTATGTTTGAAATAATATGTCTAGACAATGTTTTCCATTAGTCTATAATGGAGTTTTGATGACAACTCATTTTCAAATAATTTTTTTTGTAAATTTTGATGTATATATCTCAAAATAACTCTTTGACCTACGATAGCCATTCCAGACGATTTTTTTATAATTCAAATAGACAAATATAATTGATTTCATTGTATAGAGTTTGGCTTAACCTAAAAAATGATGAGTCATTCGGCCTTTGAAATTAAGCGGATCAAAAGTTATTGAACTTTTTGTAGTGGAAAAATTAATGATTTTTTGACAAAAGGTATAGGGCTATAGGTATAGAAAATTTGTTGTGTTATGGCACCGAAAATGAGAGTATTATTGACTTTTAAATAACTTTTGAACCGTTAATACATTTAACTTGAAATTTTTCATAGTGACCCACCTATAATAAGAAAAGAAAATTCCAAAATTATTTTTTCTAAAAATCTGTTTGGATTGATTAAAATCATTTATTTTACAGACTGAGAGCTAATATTAATTTATATAATTTTTGGGTGATACTGACTTTTGAATAACATTTGAAATGTTATTATGTTTGGCTTGAAATTTTCTATAGTGATCCAACAACTATAAGAATAAAAAAATTCCAAAATTTTTTTATTTAATTTGTCGGGAGTGTCCAGAACCACCTATTTTACAGACTGAGAGTTTTTAATAATTTATATATTTTTGGCGTCATACTGACTTTTTAATAAGTTTTGAACCGTTATTATATTTGACTTGAAAACTATTGCACAATTTACAGAATGCTCTGTGAAATAATCGCGTAAATTATAGATTGGTCAGAAAATTGCTGAAAATGGTCTGTACAAACAAATTGAATATCAACTTTAAATAGTTTAATATTTTTTTTAAATTTTTGATATTTCTGAACCGTTATTACATTTGACTTGAAATTTTAAATAGTGATCTAGTTTTTAATAAATCTGTCGGGTTTATCTAGAATCGTTTATTTTACAATCTGAAAGGTTTCTACTAATTTAATTGTGTTATAAGGAAAATTAGGGTTAAACTATACAAATAGGCATAAAGGAATCATGGAGTCCAAAAAATGCATCATTTGAAAACTATTGCATAATTTACAGACCTGTCAGTGAAATTATTGTATAAGTTACAGACGGGTCTGTAAATTACAGAAAAATAGATGTTTAAACCAATTGGGCATATTGACTTTAAATACATTTGATATTTTTGAACCGTTACCACATTTGATTTGAAAATTTAAATAATGATCTAGTTTTTATTAAATCTGTCAGGATCATACAGAATCGTTTATTTTACAGACTAAAGTGTTTTTACTTATTTAATTTGTCATGAAGAGCAAAAATTAGTGTTACAATATGCAAATATGCATGAAGGAATCATGGAATCTAAAAAAATAAATCAATTTCAAATTATTGCATAATTTACAGAACGGTTAGTAAATTACTGCAAAAGTGTTGCACAAACCAATTGGACAATTTGATTTCGAATATATTTCATAATTTCATAAATGTTATTACATTGGACTTGAAAATTTTGATAGAGATAAAAACAATAAAACAATTTAAGCCATAAATTTTTTTAACAAATGTCGGGATTATCTAGAATTGTTAATTTTACAGATTGGAGTGTTTTTATTTATTTACCTAGTCTTGCAGACTAAAATTTAAGTTTGTATTATAAAAACTCCATGCAAATATGCATATAGGATCGTAGAATCCAAATAATTCATCTGTTTAAAACTATTGCTTAATTTACAGGCCAATTAGTAAATTACTGTGTAAGGGCATTAAAATCTATCTGAATCATTAAGAATTAACTATTTAACAAACAGAAGATTCTTTAATAAAGTTAAAGTTTAAATTTAAATGAAAATAAACTTACAGCAATAGAACTTCCTAAAACTTGGAGTACTTACAACAGCAATAGCAGGTGTAACAGCAGAAACTCTGCCTAAAAAAGTAATAAAATTATTATTTAAAACACAGATACACAATAATTTTTAAAAAAAATTTGTTAATTCATTTTGAAAATTATAAAAAATTATAAATTAACAATTAAAACTAAATAAATATAAAATAAGAAACTTACTCTTTGAAATTGTTGATGTGAACTATTGACAACATCTAAAATAAAAAAACAAAAACAACATTAAAACAAAAAATGTTGTTGTTCTAAAACTTATCTCTTGGCTTTTAGTGAATGATTAGAAGTAGCAAGTTTCAGTAACGAGACAACGTAATAGTCATTTTTAACGATAGACACCAGTGAGAAGGTGCGCGAAGTTGTCTATCAACACAAAACATCACAACAATAACATCACAATTACAAAACATACAGACCCGCTGGCATTAAACAAGATTAACTTCTATCCTAACTCCTTTTCGTTTCTAACCAACATTAATGATCATCCTGAAAAGCTGATAGGTGGCTCTATTTGTTGATGACATAAAAAACATTTGAATTTAAATCATCTCGTTTTGGAGCTGACTTGTTAACTGTTGTTAAAGAAAGGTTAAAATTATAATTAGATGGAAGCGGTGAAGCACATCCTATTGCTGTGGATGATATGGTGTATCTGGCGAACTCTTTAAAAAGTCTTTGCAATCTTGTTGATATTACTTTATTGATGAATGGCAACATTTTTACTGTCTTCTACTTTACATCATCTCTGATTATCTTTTTGTACTAATTCTCATGGAAACCTCATATACAAATCATTGCTAAGTTAGTATTTGTATACAATAATATAGTATTTTATTATTCTTAGGTGATCCCAAAAAATCTTTTTTCAAAAAATCAGGTGCTCCCAAAAAATTAGGTGCTCCCAAAAAATCTTTTTTCAAAAAATTTTTTTTCTTGAACATCACTTTTTTATAATACTCTCTATTCATATTGCATTCCTGATTCATACAATTTGCAATCTTTTAAGTCATCTATTAAACATTACCTTGCTTTATAATATTCATCTTGGGTTTTCCAGTAACTATCAACTCTAAAAGTGGTTGACTTTTTATGGGAATTAGCAAGAATTACTTTAGTTATAGGATATTTAAAGTAATTTGTTAAGAATTCTGACAGATTCATGTCAAGTCATGTTCATCTTTTTCTCTGCAAATTTGTAAAAAGTGGGTATTTCTTAATACAAAATTTGGGTGTTTGAGGAAGACAATACCATTTTCAATATTTAAAAATTCCAATATATTCTTGGCAGTATTAAATGGTTTTTTCCAGCTACAATTTGGAAGCTAAAATTAAAAGTAAACCTAAACAAAAGTAAGAACAAAGAAAATAAAATGGATCAATAAAATTTGCTTTCAATAATTAAAAGTATTAAAAGACAAAATGTTTGTGCTTATGTTTAAAATTAAGGAAAGTAGGTCAAATTAATTCAAAATTGTACTATAACTTATAAACGATATAAGTTCTCAATTCTTATATATCCTTATAAATCCTTATTAAATTTTTTTTTCTTTCCATCATTTTTGTTTGTTGTTCAAAATATAAAAACTTCTTATTCACATCCTTAATAAAGATTATTTCTTATTCACACCCTTAAGTTATTTCTTATTTACATCCTTAAATTAAAGCTTAATAAGGATGTGAATATAAAATAATCTTTATTAAGCCATAATAAGGATTATTTCTTATTCACATCTTTATTAAGCCTTAAGAATGCGAATAAGAAATAATTTAAAGGTAAAAATAAGAAATAATCCTTATTAAGAATGTGAATAAGAAGTTTTTTTATTGTGAACAACAAACAAAAATGATGGAAAGAACAAAAAATTTAATAAGGATTAATAAGGATATATAAGAATTGAGAACTTATATCAAGATAACATAAATAAATACTTGATTTTGAGAGAGAGGAAGGGGTTATACTCACCTCTTGGACAGAGAACTTTTTTTAAAAAAGTTTTTAAACTAAATCAATCTTAAAGTTTTTAAATGTTGAAAACTAAAAATTTTTGTATAAATTTGAAAGGTTACCCTTTCCATTCGATTTATCATGTTTTTTTTAATCTATATGGAAATTTTCATGCAAATTGGATGTGTTTGAGTACTTAGGAAATCTTACCTTTAAAAGCTACTCTTGAAAAAATGTGTCCGTGGCAACTTTTTAAATAAAAGTGGTCTCAAGATATTGATAATATTTAAGTGAAGCCATTGAAGCATAATGCTTGCATAACTAAACAAAAAGATATAAGAGATTGAAGTTTATGAAAATTCGGTGTTTTTTGTCAAATGTCAAATAATTTTCATAGTGCCGTAGAATTGCTACCTACGACTAGGTCTATGCCTATAATATACAATATATTTTTTAAAGTATAATTTCAAATTGTTTTCAAAAAAATAAATAAAAATTGCTATACTTTCTAGGACCACTGCTTAAATTACAGCATTACAATAACTTCACTTTTAACTAATAGTAATGTATTTAGTTAAATTAATACATCATTGATTAGTCTACTAGACTTTGCAATATTTGTAATTGTGTTCAATGCCTGATCTTAGTTGCTCTAAAATGAGATAAGAAAGTTACTTTTTTATGTGCTACTAAAACATCTAAGTTTGGAAATAAAATTATTTTGTAATTACTTCCAAATGTTACTTCCAATAGCCAGACACCACTACTTAGTAGAAAAGTAAGGCACTGAATCATGATTCTAAAACTTTACTTTGTTATTAATTATTAGCTGAAAGCATTTAACTATAGTAGGTAGTAGCCCTATAAACACATCTAAACAACTATTTATCACAATTCATATTGTGCCACATACATCTGTTAGACATCAAATGCTTTATCAACTAATATTGAAATTTTATTGTTTAGCTTTTTTATCTTCACATGTCATTTTAGGAACTATAATGTCATTACAAATATTAATTAACTCATTTTGAATAGTTTTAAAGTGATGTGTAGCATTTTTTACAATAGTTACTAAACCATTCACCATATTGTTTTTTGTACAATTGGATATTAGTTTCAAAATTACATGAAGATTGCCAAAGTTACTACTTTCATTCTCATAGAAAAAAGAATCATCTTTGTGATCTAGGAGAGATATCTTTTGTTTTCAACAGATAACAAATGCCAAAACTATTGGTTTTAATATTTCTCTATTTTTCTTGACTTCTTCATATTCTTGACAATTCTTCATATTCTTCAGATCTAAAAAAACTTTTTTTAATTTCTGAATAAGCAAGCCAAGAGAATAAAGCGAGCCAAGAGAACTGATTGGAACTGTTTTTAGGATTTATAAACTGTTTTAATAAGAATTATTTGATTGAAAATGAAAATTGGAGCTTAATTTGTTCGTTTCCTGAGTACAATAAAGAAACAGGATGCTAGAATTTCAAGAAATGGGCTGATTCATATCAGGGAGTTTTACTTTAGATGCAAAAAAATCATGTACTTGGTATTTTTTAGGGGTATATTTTAAAGATTTTAGAGGAACAAAGAGATTTTTTACTGTTATATTAGAAATCTGTTTAAAACTGAAGAGCAACGAAGAATGTTTATCTTTTTTTAAAATGTGCATAAAGAATGTTTATCATGTTGTCTAACAGATCAATAAAAAAATATTTTATAAACAGTTTTCTTTATGTCTTTTTTACCAATTTTTTAAAAGATAATATGATTCAATTGACATCCCAACAACACTTGAGAGCACACAAATAAGAAACAAAGAATAAGAATAGTTAGTCTTAACATTGATAGACTATGATTTGACACTAAGATTTCTGTTATATTTACAAAAGAAATTATACACTTTTTAGGAAATAATATAAAATTTCACAAGAAAATATATATTTATAAAATTCAAATACCTTAAGCAAAATTTAAATAATTAAGTTTATAAAAGTTTAAATAAGTTTATAAGTTAAATGCTTTGTCACAAAAAGCTATATATCATTTCTTTATTTCCAATTGTTTTAACCAATAATCAACATAACTTCTTTATATATTAGTATATAAAACATTTATTATACTATATATATATCATATAACTTTTACTTTTATATATTATATATAACTGTTTTTAAATCATTTTTTTACTTAATATCAAACTTCTTGCACGCACACACATAAATATTTTGCTTTTTATTTTTAAATTAATATAATTATTTAAGAAACTCATTATTGATACTCACTTGTTGAAAATCGCTTCCATTTCCTCACTTGCCTCCAGTTCTCACTTGCTTCCAGTTCCAAATCTTCGATAGAGTGGAAACTGTATAAAACTATATATGAAACTTTGCATATTTTAATGCAATACATTTTTTATAGCTTTTTCATTGAACAAAATTGTTTTTCTAATTTTATTATGAGCCTTTGCAATGATATTAGATTTAAATGATTCCTTTTTAGATTAGACTCTATTTAAATCTAAAATACATTTAAAATGACTCAAAACATTAAATCCACCATATTTATAGTATTTACTGTTTTTACACAAAGTTCTTTGCAACTACAACAAGAATTATTTTCAAACTCCTTTAAAAAAAAAAAAAAAAAAAACTTTGGGTAAAATAAATTATTTTACTCAAAGTTTTTATTAATTATTAAAATTTTTTTTTTTAATTATCAAAAAATGCTATGTAATAGAAAATTATTTTTGCTGAAAGTTATGGGTGTTAAAGTTAAAGGGTAAAGTTAAAGGGTGCTAAAGTTAAAAGGTGTTAACATTAAAGGGTATTGTTGGAAGTTAAAGGGTTGTTGAAAGTTAATGGGTGGAAGCACTATTTACCTTTTAACAACCAGTGTTTTTGTGTTTTAAGTAGGCACACCATTTAAAACACAAATCTTTGTAAAAGCAATGACAGTAACAAAAACTCTTTATTTTTTATTTATTTATACCATGTGTTTCAGTTTAGAATACATGTCAATAGGGTATTCTTGATCCATTGCTTGAGTTGGCTTTTAAGTAATTTTGTAATGCAAAATTTAATTGGCAAAAACCATGCTGGTTCTTGTTAAAAAATTATTATCTAAAAGATGCCGAATGCTATTTTTACAAAACTTTCTTAAACTTTACATATAATGAATGAAAGAAAATAGTTTGAAGGATCAAGTCTATCACAATTTCAAAAATTGGAATTATGTTTAAATCTTTCCACGTAATTGATAACTGTCCAAAAGTTATTTTGGCAGATTATTTTATTTATATCAATTTCATAGTAAACTTGAGTAACAGCATCATATTTTTGTAAGGCTTTATCATTTTGAGTAAATAAACATTTAAAAAAGAAGTTTAACAAACTTCTTAACTAAATTTAACTGAATGGTTCTCACAAATTGTACCATTTGTATCAGTGCAAGTTATATGCTTACATTTTTGTTTGCTGTTCACATATGCTTAAAACTTATAAAGACTTTTTTCAGAACATCTAGCTGTTTTACATTTAAATAGTTTAAAGGCATCTTAAAGGATATCAATATAAAGTTGAGTCTAAAGTTTGATAAACATTTTATTTTTGTTAATAATTCATGATTATATATACAAGATGCAAAAAGCTTTGAACATAATCTATTTTTTTCATTAATTAGTTTATATTAGATATAATCCATGTTTGTAATGGTTGTCCGTATTTTTTCAATAATTGTCCGTATTTTTTGTAGTTGTCCATATTTTTTTGAACTTATCACATCTCATCATATATAACTCTAAAAATCTACCATAACACTCATTCAAAGAACTTTGAAAGAATTCTTTACAACAAATTATATGATCATCTATAAATAAATATTAAATACCAGTCAATATGGTCAATATATGATCATCTATAAATAAATATTAAATACCAGTCAATATGGATTTAAAAAAAATAATTCCACTATTTGGAGAACCAGCCAAAATAAGACAAAATTAGAAGAAAAGTTATTTGCAAAGAGTTATGCCTTACTCTTGGGAGCGGTAATAAGATCAGTCCCATGAATGGGAGATGGAATGTTAGACCTACTCTTATTAAAGAGACTACCAAGTCCCGAGGCATATTGTGTAATTAAAGAGAATGTTAAAAAAAAAACGTCTGAGCAAATTTTTTTTGATTAAAACTAAATAATAAATGTAAACCAAGAAAAACAAATCTTGTTGTTTTAGTCGAAGCTCGTCTTCTCCGTTTTCTCTGGTATTTTGAGTATGTAAAATAAAAGGGATTTTCCAGGCGCATTATACAGACTTGATAATTTATTCAAGCGCGTTTAATTCATCGGAGTTTTAGAGCATGACGTCATTGGAAACATTCTAGAAATTCTTTAAAAATTTTACTATTAAATTTTACTCAAATAGCTAACTATAGTTACTTATTATATTAAAAGTTTATTTTATTAATTTTTTGTTAGTTTTTTACAAATCTAACAAACAATTAATTAAACCAAGCTCTAAGAAAAGATATAAAAATTAAGAATATACTAATAAAATATATAATTTGTAATTAACTTTCAAAATTTTGACAATTTAAAAAAAATATATTATAAAACATTTATTTTTGTAAACAAATGATAATAGTTTAAAAATCTTATGGCTTTACAGATATGGCTCCGAGAATGAGCCATAATATTAAAGTAATAGTTCATTTGATAATATATTCTTAAAAAAATTTATGCTAGATATCTCAAAACGCAACAAATCGTAAATAATACAATTCCTAAAACATTTAAACAGAATACTCTAGAACTTTATTTCGCTTAGTCAGCGTGTTTTTTGAAAAAATGGAAATAGTTTGTTCGCAAATTTAGCTGGTTTTTAGTGTTCGCGAGTATTCTTTTTATTCTTCCGCAAAATGTTTTAAGAACATTTAAGTTAATTATGTTTTCATGTATGTCTGTAAATAAAAATTAATATACATTAGTTTTTTAATTTTTAAGCCCCCGCCATAATATATATTGGATGTTATAATGGAAATATAAATAATGAAATTAGATCACCTCAATACCAAAAAATACATTTTTGAAAATCAGAGAAAAAATGCGTTAATATATTTTTTTAATATTTACAAAGCAAATTAATAAAAGTGCATTATTATTTAGGTTAAAAACTATTTTATCTAATATTTTGAAAGAAAAACTTATAACAAAAGAAATCAAAATAAACGTGGTCTAAATGATTATTTAAAAAAAGTTGCGCAAATAAAATACTATTTTTTTTTTTATTTTATTTTCGTTTTTAATTTTATTTTGTTTTTAATTTTATTTTGTTTTTAATTTTGTTTTACAAACACATTTTAAAACTTTAAAATATAATAAAAATGAATATGATTTGAAAATTGTATGTAAAAAATAACAATCGGTGTTTTAAACAAACAAACAAAAAAATCTATGGC